CACTCCGACCCTCACACGACTGGTATGCTCAGCCTGCCGAGCCTGGAGGTACCAGTAGCAGAACGGTCCGACCTAGTGATACCACTGGCAAAGAAAAGAAAAAAAAACGAAACGAAAAAAAAAAAAAAACAATGCTAGGGACGTAATTGCAGTTAGATACGTTCTTTGAAGTGCTTGTGTGAGCATGCTCTCAGTAAGGGCATCTCAGCCCCGTGACCTCATTGTCAGAATCTGGAAAGAACAAGAAGACAGAGAAAAAGAAATATGACCTTCTGTCAGAATCCAGAAACTAATACGAAGACATAGAAACAGAACTACCACTTCGGCTGTGAACCTGGTTGGATACATCTGTCGCTGTGCCAGTATGAATGCACCCTCAAGGAAAGTGTTTGAGCACATCACGGGATACGCCCTGCCTAGCTGGCAGGGCCTATAAAAAAAGGAAAAGACGAGAAAACAAAACAAAACAAAACAGCATTCAGAATCTTACCGTTATAGTAGTGAGATTCCTTCTTCGAAGAACAATAGCACGCACGGCCTCTACATCCGAAGCGGCGCAGTAACTGCCGCATCGGAAAAAAAATCATGGGCGAGGTACTCGTGGTTTAAACCACACACAATTTTTTCACAGGGCCCCTGTGTGAAAACAATCACCAATCAAAACACGCCCCAGTAGTAAAACCAGAAATAAAGAAGCGAACGCCACAGGGGTTTTGGAAAGAGGGAGGGAGGGGGGGGGGAAGGGAGAGGGGCAGGGGAGGGGGAGGAAATGAGATCCACAAGGGGATCATAATGGATAAAGCATTGTATAGATTATCCATTTTATATGCATCATACAAAAGTGAACTCCTCCACTGGAATATCCTTTAAGAAAAAAACTGAAAGAACCCAAAAAAACAAAGGAACCATTCTACCTGCAACAAGGGCACTTCTGTCCCTTCAGGACGTCATCAATTGTCGCCTCTGAAGCCGGCCTACAAGTCGCCAAGTAATCGATCACATGGGAATGGAGGCAGGTATGACAAACAGGGTGATCACAATCATCCAGCACGTACGTGTCATCCAGCTTCACCGCAACGTGGCAAGCCGAGCAAGTCCGCTCTGCAAACGACAGGAAAAAAAAAGACCAAGACCGAAAGTCACAATAGGAGGAGGAGGAGGAGGAGGAGAAGGATTGGAATGAAAAGAACAGGACTCAGAAGGTGACAACAATTTCTTCCCATGTAAACCAAATCTCCTGAAAGACACAGTACGAGTACACTCACAATGCTCGATGTATCACAATTACATTCCCCCAAACACGTATCTGACCACAATTACAGCCGGAGCTGAATCACAAAAATCCTAGTGTCAGCATGCCCTAATGTAGCAGAGGAAGTTCACAAAAAGACAAGAATAGACCATATGTGATGACAGAGTCCAAAGGACAAGGACTCGAGGAGTCAATTTCCATATGCACCCTTCACGGCACAGCAAAACCCAGCCATGCCCCTCTAATACTTTTCACCACTCTCCAGGAGTGCGGTCCCACTAGCAAAGAGGATGATACTGAGCGTCCGAATCTGGATGTCTTTTATGAAGAGATGCAGAGAAGCAGATCGGTCGCAATTTTCTGCCTCTCTCCACAAAATCCTCCAGATTGAGGGTTAAATGCGCGAGGCCAATGCCTCTATGAGCCCCTTATGGCCCCTGAAGCAAGTCGGCCGCCCTACGTGAAGGCAGGCTCGACGAGGCCCTCAGGGCCCTGTTTTGGTCACCACGCAACTCAAGGAAATTCAGGCAGTTGCGCAGCGCCAGTTGGTTGAGAGAACCCAGGCCCTGGGCCGCCTGTGAATGTATGGAAAGCAGGCCCTGGCTGGATACAGGTCCTGGGCCGAACACAGGCCAAAGGCAGTTGGGCACATGCAACCAACTAAGGCCCAAGGCCTGTTCTCGTTCGTGCTGGGCCTCAGGCTACCGGGGCCTACTGGAAGCATCCTGGGACTGGACGCAGGCAGGCCACTTTGATATAGCGAAGGGCCTGCCTCCGCATTCGCTATTCGGGTGCTGGCTGCATGCTGCGCTATTTGCTGGCTGTCGCCTACGCGCTCACGGGCGAGCAGGGAAAGAGCAGGCAGCCATAGCCGAGCTGCGCTGCTGTAAGCTGGGTGTGGCGCAGGGTGGTCCTTGGGTGCAAGTGGCATCTGTGTGTTGGGGAACGAGGTTGTGAGTGCGGCGAGAGACATACCTGGTGCTGGAAGCGTGCGACATTGGTCGCTGTATGCTCGTACTTCGGGAAGGCTGTTGACGTCATCATTCGGCATTGTGGTCTAGGCTAGATAGGATTTGCCATCTGTAGTCTGGGCGCCGAGCGCCAGATAGGATATCAACATTGGTTCTCCATTGATGATGATGATGAGACTTTACCAGCATCGGCAATTTTGAGCTCTTGGTGTCTTCTTATTTGGTGAAACTCGTGATGCAATTCTGCTGTTGGTTCAAGGTCGCAACTATCTGGTCTTGTGTGTATGATGCTGTGTGATTGCTGAAGTTCGCTATTGCTTATCTTCCTTGCACAAATGCCACATTCAGGATAATTGCTGGCGGGACCTCGCCCCCAGAAGTCGTTACTAAACTTTACCTCAAAAAGAATGGTCATCTAGCACAGGGAAAAAATAGAACAAAATATAAAGGCAACTCTCTTTGACAGGCATTGTCACATCACAGACCCCAAGTTCAAATCTCAGGCTCAAGGTCCCGAAGTCAAAAGAGGCTGATTGGCCAAAACTGGAAAGGTGCAATGACTTGCTGGTTTTGGTGGCCTGTAGCCCATCGAGTTGAGGCTGTACCATAGGTAGGTCAGATTTGTTATTTTGTTTGGCTGAGGGCTAACCGAGAGACCTGCCTGTAGGGAAATTCGTGAGGGACCTAACTGCAAATTCGATAAAATATAGGCCACACTAAATAGGATTTCCTACAGCTATCCTAACTGCGAATAGCAGGCCCGGGCTACCCCTAGGACGGACAGGCCCTAAAGGCCTATGCCAATAGACGACCTTATAGCCTATAGCCGGGTAGGAGACAGGCCAAGAGGCCGAAACTGAAACGGTACCGGTCTGTCCAGTCAGTCCGGTCTAGGTCTAGGCTAGGGTAGTGTAAGTCTATAGATAGATTGTAGACATCGGTTCGGGGCTTTTGGCAGTTGGTACTGTGTACGTCGCTTCTGCGCAACGCATGAACTGGAGTGGTGACAGTTGCAGCGTTGGAGGAGACGGACATAGCCAGACCTGCGGAGAGTCGACCATTGGGACCTACGGTGTACTCTGACAGCACGCGGGGCTGTCCAGAGGTCCGGTCTATTTGAAGTCTGCTGGAGGCGAGAGAAGTTGGTGCCCTGCTGAACCCTCGTCAGAAGTAGGGTCTCTGGGAGTTTGGCGCTGCAGCCATAGCTGCAGCTTTCTTCCTCAGAGTTCGTCTTTGTCAGGAGAGGTGGCGCTGCTACAGACTTCCACCCCGGAGGTCCTCTGGCACTTCATCATCATCGGACACTGTGGCGCTGGTCTTCTACTTCATCCTCTGAGAGGCGCTTGGCCTCAGAGGCCTGTTTCAGGGTGGTGATTCCCTCTGGAGGCAGTGTATGGGTGGCGCTTGATGTTTCAGGGACTCAGGGATAGTAATAGCGGTTACTCAGGGTTGGGGAGTGAAGCGCTGCTCACTTCTGAGCAGTGCACCATGGTTCTGGGGTTATTCTGACATTTCGAGACTCTGAGTTTTATAAACAGTGTTTATACTGTGTGTGAACTATCTTTTCTTCATTGTCTCCTGGATGTGATCTACTCGGCTTTCCTTTGTGACTGGTTGTGATGATTCAGTAGAGCGAATTCCACTTTCAGCGTTTTCTGTCATATTGCATGGTCAAGTCTTCCGCTGTGTTTATCTCTCCCTGTGCGGTGTGATACTGCCATCCTCTCCCCTTCCTTCTGTGTATGTATGGGCATACGTGGAAGTCTATGCGAGTGAGTGTTGGTCTTTTGACAACAAGTAACCAGGATCATAACAGTTGGTATCGGAGCGATTTGATCTAGACAGTGAAGGGATTGATGAGTTGGAGCAACCATCATCATCTGGCAAGATACTGGAATTGAACTTCATGGCGATTTGTCATCTTCAGGGTTGGCGACAGTGAGGGTGGTTGTGGTAAGTGTGTGGCGAGAAGCATCGGACAGAGGGTGACACATTCCTGCTTAGGGTTGTGCAGGAATGAGTGGCGAGTGATGCTCAGAGGCCTGGGAGGCTCTGAGGAGGCTATTTTTAGCTTGGCAGCTCATCTGAGAATTGGCGATTGGCAAGGAAGTGACCCCAGGGTGTCGCGATTTTGGAATTGGGTCAGGATAGCCAATTTCCAAGCAGCGCAGTACAGGTTGGAGCAGCGCTGCACTGAGTGTGTCAGTTATTGGCATCTGGGAGTCCAGATTCACTGAATCTGTCAGTTGAGGGTGACGCGCCACAGGAAGATCTACAGGATCACCTAGTTTCAGAGAGTTTCATAGGTGGGAACACTGGGTACAGTCAGAAGAAGAAACTGGCGAAATGGGTCCTAGGAGACAGACATAGCCAGGGTTTCATGCATCCCCTTCAGAGATATCCCTGAAGTAAGTGTGTTCCTTACTCTACTCTGTGCGGCAATTCTGGGGCTCTTTTTAGAATAGCGAAATATGGTCTGTCAGGCAGTAGACAGTTGAAAATCGAAATTCAAACTATGAGACAGCCATATCCAACTTCCCCTACCTATCTTCTTCGACTTCTACCAACCCTGTTTGACCTCCTTCCTGACTCAACTTTCATCTGGGACTGCTTTTCAGTGTAGTGATGCATATTGTACTGTGATTTGGATTGTTCAGGGTCCTGTTGCCAGTGATATTGAAAATTTGAATTCTGCGCTGCCATAGCTGAAGCTTGGCTAGGCTAGGGTGAGTCATTACTTGGGTTCTGTCCGTCAGAATTCAATTCTGTAAGTCCGTGTTAAATCACAATTCAATATTTAGTCTGTGTCTGAAATCGCGCATGGCCAGGACAGCCTCGAAGGGTCAAGATGCAACGTTGAGGCTGTCCTGGCCCGGGTTGGGGGCCAGCATGGGAGAGCCCGAAACGGAGTCGTCGTTCAAGGATGAGAATGCTTTGTGGATGTCGGCAAGAGTTGTGGATCGATCAGGGCCTGCGATAGGGCTCCATCAGACGAATCCGCGGACGTCGACGGCACGACTTGTGGATCCGTTGAGTTCTGCAGTCGGGCTCCCCCAGACGACGATCACGGACAGCGCCACCGTCATTACGACACACGAGCAAACGCAGCGCACGATAGACAATTGGATGATGGCCGAATGCATCGTGTTCAACATGATGAAGAGCGAATACTGGGACAAAATGATGCACCTGCTAATGACTGCGTTGAAAGGCTTCAGGTATGCGAAGTTCGAAAATGCAAGGACGAAGAGGGTTGAAGTAACAAGGGGCAAGGTCGGGAAGAGGGTGGAGGACTTGCGACAGGAGTGACCAACCACTCACTGCATGTTGCAGCTTGATGGTCAGACAAATCGCCAACAGAGACCACACATCAACGTGATGGTCTCCTTCCCTAAAAACTCCATCTTTGGGAGAAGTTGGGTATGCCACGGTGCAACAAGGGCGCCTCAACATACTACGCCATTTTGAAGAGGGCAATAGAGGAGATAGGTGTAGAGGCAGTGGTGCGGGTCATTATGGACAATGCTGTTGTTTGCGCAGCTGCGGGGCGAATGATTGAAGCAGATTACCCTCATGTCTTCTATGTCTTGTGCACAGCACACTCCCTCGACTTGATGTTTGAGTCTTTCGCGAAGATTGGGTGAGTCAGTGCAATTATGAAAAGGGCATCTGAGCTTGTAAGGTTCTTCACGAACCATTTGCGGGTGCAGGACCTCCTGATTCACTACTCCAACGGCAGTGTCATGTCAAAACCGGGTGCGACCCGATTTGCCACCAACTTCATCATGATGTCGAGCCTGCAGGAGTTGTACATGCCACTATGTGCGTGTGTGACGGATGATGACTGGAAGCCAGAGATCGTGCAAACTTCGCTGCGGGAACTGTTCGTGAAGGCTACGCATTCCATCTTGGACGACACCTTCTACGAAGATGTCGAGAAGGTGATGCAGACGTCCAAGAACCTGCTCAAACTTTTGAAGAAGGTCGACGACACAGGTCCCACCATCAGTAAAGTGAACGCCCGTATGGACAACGCATTGGAGAAACTGAGGAGAGCAAGCACTTTGCCGAAGCGGAGGAAGAACTCGAGGAGATCATCATGCGGTGCTGGAATGAAATGACATCACCGCTGTATTGTGCTGCGCTGTTCTTGGATCCGGAGTACAGAGCGTCAGCCAAAAACGGATGCAGAGGTTGCGGATGGGTTTTAGACGTGGCTTTACTCGCGGTGCAAGAATCGTCTTTTGTTGAGGTCGACGCAAAGGTTTTATCTTGGATTGAGGGCATTGGGGGACAGTTGTGAAGATGCAAGGACACAAGCCCGTCTGATGCAGCCAGCGAGGTGGTGGAGGAAGTGGTGCAGAGACATGCCCATCCTCCACAAGCAAGCCGTCCGTCTGCTTGGAGCAAGCATCCTCCTCCTCTTGTTGTGAGAGGAACTGGAGCTTGTTTGAACGAATTCATAGTCATCTCCGTAACAACCTCGGCGCCATCAAGCTTAGCACGGTGGTTTTTGACAGATGGAACCAGCGTTTGTTGGATCCCTTGATAGAAACCAAAGGCTGATAAGGATTCTACGCAATGGTAAGTGGATGAACCAGTCAAAGATCTCACACGGGATGAGATGGCCACGGATGCACAAATGCGGTTGGTGGAGTGGCGTGCCCGGCTGCACAGAACAGAGCCGGTTAGCGATGCAAGTGAGAACGCTGACTCGAGCTCAATGATGACGACAATCCTGTTGAAGCACCACAAACGCCTGTTCCGAAGGACGTCACAATCCAACGTCATCGGCTGCGCAGCAATCTGCTTGAGCTCGAGAGACAGCTCAACAAGTCATGGAGGAAGGTCACAAAGGCTTCCAAGTTTCTAGCCCGGAGACATTTGCACGAGTTGGATCAGGCCACAAGGACCATGACTGTTGAGCATGCCAACAAATACAAAGTTGCGAGGGCAATTGCATGTGCACCACCCTCGATCCCAGCCAAACGAGGGAGAGGGAGACCTCGGAATGAGGCTGCAACTCGAGGCGGGACAGGTGATGAGGAGGCTGACGACGTGGAAGGTAGCAATTTGGCAGGAGGTCCTGCACCCGCGCATGTCACAAGAAAGTGGGGACGACCGCAAAAGGAGCCCGTGCAAGAGGAAGAAGCAACTCAAGGGGGGACACGTGAGAAGGAGGTTGAGGATGTGGAAGGTGGCAATTTGGCAAGGGGTCCAGCACCCGCACGTGGAACCACAAAGTGGGGACAATCGCAAAAGGAGCTTGTGCAAGAGGAGGAGGCAGCGCCAGAAGGGACAAGCAATGATGAATGTGGTGGCGGCGGTGATCAAAAATATGGCAGCAGTGACAAAAGTGATGGCAGTGGCGATGGTCACGACAGGAGCGGTGGCAGCGATGGGACTGATGACAGTGGCAAGGAGGATGAAGGCGAAAGGCGACGAGAAAGATGGTTGTTCTTCGAAGGAGGAGGGCGACTCTGAATCAGAACCCCTGTCTAAACTCCACAAGACATCCCACTAATGCAACCCGCAAGCGAGAGAGAGAGAGAGAGAGAGAGAGAGAGAGAGCACTGACAGTGCTACTAATCTGAAGACTTTATTAAACCTTTTGACTTTTTTTTATCTTTTTTTTTTTTTGTTTTTGTAATCTTGTGCCTGCTTTGCACTGTTCAAAACGTTCGTGCCTGTTAGTTGAATGTGGTTGTTGATTTGCAGCAAGATAGTTGCTCTGCAGACTGAACTTCGAAGTGCAAAGCAGGCGAGTCCCTGCCAACACCACCACCCCCCCTTCCCGACCTCCTTTTTTTTTTTTTTTTTTTTTTGGTCCGGACATCCCCGAACCACTGAAGCTGGTCCGAACCGCCCGGTGTCCGGTGCTGTCCGGATCACCGAACAGTCCGGACCGGTCCAGACACTGGCGCCGAAGTGTGTCCAATGTCTGGGTCCGGGGTTACCATGACGTAGAGTAGCATCAAGTGTAGAGAGTCGAAGTCCAATAAGCATAGAGTAGCGTCGTAGCCATCCAACATATAAGTCCAGTGTAGCCTTTTTTATTTTTTGTCGTAGGTCGTCGTTGTCATCGTAGCTTAGAGTCTCTCTCTCTCTCTCTCTCTCGCTCGCTCGCTCGCTCGCTGTCATCTTAGCTGAGGTGGCCACAGAAGATGGGAAACGTGGGCGGGGAGGGGAGGGAAGGTGGGCGCAGAGAGTAGGGAAAGTGGGAGCGAGAGGTAGGGAAGTTGGTCGCAGAGGGGGAGGAAGGTCGGCCGAGAGGGGGTCCAAAGTGGGCGCGGAGTGGAGGGAAGGTGTGCGCAGGAGGGAAATTTGGTCGATGCTGTAGGGTGCCTTTGTGTAAGGTCGAGTGTAGCCAATGTGTGGGGAGAGAGAGAGAGAGAGTAGCAAATTTGATTGTAGCAGGGAACAGTAGAGTCGAGCGTAGAGAGTCGAAGTCCAGTAGCGTAGAGTAGCGTCATAGCCCTCAACCCCGTGTGTACCTTTCGCCGTTTCTTTTTGGTGCAGCCTGGCAAAAAAATGTTAGTCCAATCCAAAATTGGCCTAGGAGGTGCCACGTGTGGCAATTTCGGTCGAGGGCCTACCGGTCCAGCAGGAATTCACTACCGGCCCAGCGATCGTCTCCAAAGCGATCAACACGCGATCTGGACCGTGCGGTTCAACGCCGAAGACGGTCCAGATTGCGAGTTGATGACATCGAAAACGATCAGCAGCCAATCTCGACCGTCTCTCCTCAACGAAACGGAGGGCCCAAATTGGCTGCTGGTCACAGGCCGCTAAATAGCGATTGTTATATAGTGATTTTTATTGACCTCATGCGAGGACTGAGCCCTCAGGGGGCCTTTACAGACATGCAGGTGTTCTGGGTTGTGGCCCCCAGCAAGCATTGTGCCCACCCTAAGTGAAGGTGGGTTTGAATATGCACACGAGGCCTACTTACGACATTTTCCATATGTGGTGTATCAGACAGTTGCAGCACGCCAGCTGGTAAAGAACTACGTGAGCCTTCAGAGGCTCCTTCCAAGAGCAAGAGTTCTGCTGTACAGCTGAGCCCAAGGCTCAGGCGGTTGCGCCTTGGGCACTGGGAGGCCGACCCATCATAGACTAGTCGCAGGCCAATGAGAATGCGACATTGTCGTCACACATGCCCCGCGAGTCAAGGAGAATGCGGCAAACACTAGGAGCCTGGAGGGCTGCCTAGATGTGCCCCACGGTAAAGGGCCCAGGCCCGTAACAACAAAAGTGGACCTAGGCGCAGACACTGGGGCCCAACTAGAAGCTATTGGAAACTCGTCCAGACAGGATCACGCAGTTGAACACGAGGTCGCACTTTCCATAAAGGAAAGTGCCCTGCCCAGGCAGAGGCATTCTAGCTCAAGCAGGCATTGCGGCCACGCTGCTGCTCTGCCAAACGCTGCTGTGGTAGTGCGGGCTGGCCAAGGCTCACGTGGGTGCTAAGAGGTGACATGGCGCTGCGGTGGCAGCGCGCACATGGCGGCCATAGCCGGGCCACGCGTGCCTGTAGCAGGTGATGGCGATGGTGGTCTTCGGGTAGGAGGCGAACGCCGAGAGGAGTCAAGGTGGGATGAGGGGAGCAAAGAGAATGTACCTAGTGTATGCTGGCGGTCTGCATTGGTGATGACGTCACGTACAATGGTCTTCAACTTCGATGTAATCCAGTTGCATGAACATTGATAGGAGTAGATTGGTTGAGGTGTAGGTTGGGCATTGGGCGCCAGACAGTAGGTGCGACATTGGATATTGTGTTGGTGCAACCAAAGGGTATCGATATTAGCACACGAGTTCATTGTGTTGCGCTCTTACTTGGATGGTATCTTGGTGCATTGTGCTCTCTGCTTGGTTTGTGACTATCTGGTCTACTTCGTGATTTTGCAACTTGCATTTCTGTCTATCGCTCTCACTCATATTCCTTGCAATTTTGTATCGGAGCTGGTTCAATATCGCCATTTCGACACTGGTGACTTCCTTAGTTCGTGTGCTGACGAAGCTTCTACGCAGCAGGGATACACTGGCGTTGGCTGTTTGGGCGACTACCGGTAGGGGGGAGTGTCGCCGAAAGGTTGTGGTGAAAGTGTGGGAGTTGTGGCGACAACAGATGTATGTGGAATGATGAGAGCATGCTGACATGGCATTTTTGTTGAGGTGGCACTCCATGGCATTGTGTGTGGTACCAAGGCTATGACCGGTCATCACGTCGGCTCAATTGGTGAGAAATTTGTGGTTGGCAGCTATCTTCAGGTATGTTGTTCCCTTACCTTATCTTCCCATCTCATTCTTTTCTTACCGTGAGGAAGTGAGTTCGACTTGAGAGTCCTCTTCTTGGTCAGGAGTCGTGAGCGCTCTACCTTGAGAGTGGACATTCGTCCTGGTGCCGCATCTGGAAGGAGAGGGTGGTGCCTCTGAAGGGCCCTGAACGAAGCACGGGTCACGGTCACCATGCCAACCCAAGGGAGTAGTGCACATAGGCCATCTTGCATTGTCCATTGAGCTCTTTGTTGCGTTGTAGAGGGAACGTGGACTGACTAGTCCAGACGTGTTCCAGACCGTCTAGAAAAAACCTCTGGTGGGATCTGAGATCTAGCTTTGATCATCGTCCTGTCTGCGACGTTAAATAATTTTTGAGGACTTCGGGGGATGTCCATAAATTGCCTCTTGATCAGCCAGATCATCGGATGTAAGGCTAGTTGCACACGAGGGTAAACAAAGGGCAGAACTGGTCATAAGCGGTTTCCTGGGCACAGGGGTGAGCCGATATGCACACCTTAGACACAACTGCTTGATGATGCAAGTCGGGATCGTCGGATACAAGGGAAGGAAAGGTTCCAATTGGTGCTCGTACACAAACACCATAATTTTCATTTCTGCATACATGCAATTAATTTATTTTTATTTTTGTTAGTTATGGTGGACATACTGCTAACACCTAACAGACGGCCATAGAATAGAACTGTAGAATACTAACATAGCCAATTTTGTCTGAAGTTGCTGTGAGAGAACTGATCGAAGTAGAAATAGATCATTTCTTTAGTATGTGTAAATGTCGTCGACACAACTTGATCGGTAGCCTACGCGGCTTGCCGAATATTTATTTTATTTTTTATTGATTTTTAAAATCGATCAGACACATGTTGTGGTAGGCCCCAACGAGGCCACTAGTGCAGATAGTGATTTGCCTAGCCGAAGCGGACAAGGTAGTGGAGAGGAGAGGTCTGAAGGAAGAAGGGTGACAAGATTGGAATCACTTAAAATACAGATCGTGCATCAAGCTTTACCATCCGGGGGCGAAAAAGGTATATAAGACGGGAGGCTGAGGCTGACCATTTGCAGAGGGCTAGGGAGGCAGCAGCAGCGGAGCAGGTTCGGGCGGCGGCAGAAGCCGAGCAATGGCGAAGCAATGCCGACCTCTACTGCTACATCTCAGGGTCGGCAGACGTTAGGCATGCAGTCCAGTTCACAGGCTACGTGCAGTGGGACGAGTACAGGCACTTAGTCCAGTCAGAACACAGGCTCGCAGTACAGCCAGTCACTTTCACGCACTAGAGAGGTTATAAAACTCCAGCAAGTGGAGGTCATTCGCTTACAGTTAGAGAACGAATTGAAGGAAGCTACCAAAGATTAAAAAGAGAAAAGCCAGATTAGAGAACAGAAGGGAAGACAAACCTGCATTAGAAGGGCTAGACGACTCTACCCATGATGACACTGCCAAAATCCTCAAGGCAGGCATGTTGAGCGTGTATGCGTACATGGACAGCAAGCTGGATGACATCCAAGATACCCTTGACCAGATATTGAATGCCATGCAGGGAAGGGGAGGACCACACCCCTCCATACTTGGTGGGCCCAGCGTCCGACCTCAGGCAGCATTTCCATCGTCAGTCCCTTTACCGGTGATGACATGCCCCTTTGTCCCTCTATATGGTGTCGTACCAGGTGGTACGTCTGCAGCAGCAGCATAGACTATTGCTTCTTCATCCTCAGGTCCAGCTGCTGCAGCTGCAGGGCAACAGTTGGTCCAGCAACCGGCTCATCAAGCCGGACAGACTGGACCATAGCAACCTTGGACCCAAAGACCCCAATGAGACCCCCGATTGTCTTCACAGGAGACAAGAAGGATAAGGCCCTTGACACTTGGTTGAGGACAGTTCCATTGTGGGTGAAGGCCAAGCGTACTTTATGTGAGAAGGAGGTGATCATCGCCGCTTCTTACTTGGAAGGATCGACAACTAGATGGTTAATGGCATATAGCGACAAAGGGATTCGCCAGACGAATGAACAATTGGGCCCAGACCCAAACTCTAGAAAGCTTTATGGACTTGTGGAGGCGCGATTGCACAACCCTCAGCGTGAGGCCTCACTAGTGCCATAGAGAAATTGGTGGTAGTTCTGAGAATTCACTACGATCCCTGAGTCCTCCTAACCATGTTCTTGAGATATCTTCCCACATACATCAAGGATCTAATGATTAGCGAGGCCAGCATCGAATATCATACCCTCAAGGTCTTTAGCAACAAGACCTTAGATTTAAGACTAAGTTAGAAGGGCTCAGCAAACAGCTATAGACGGAAGGAAGAAGAAGGGTAGTCCATCGATGATGGTTGATTCCGATGGGAATCAAACCGAGACCTCTCCGATCTTCTGGATGAGACGGATAGCGAGGATAGTGCAAACGGTAGCAACCTCGCTGCAATAATCAAAGAAAAGGCCATTGGTCGCGGCAAGGGCGGCCGGCAAAAGAGTCAAGGGCAGGTTCTGAACTCAAGGAAGTAGGAAGTTGACGAAGGAGGAAGGGAGGTGAAAAGGAAGGAGGAACATGATTAGAAAACTGTGAGGCAGTGCGAGTAAGAGGGAGCGTAGTTTTCAAGTTTTCGAATCGTGTTGTATCACCAATTTCCTTGGCGACAGGTGCTATGTGTGTGTGTGTGTGTGTGTGTGTGCGTAAACGCACTTCCAAGAAGATCGGCCAAGGCGATCTCGACGACGACGGTCTGTGTGGTAAGCACTCGCACTGTGAACGACGAAACATGCCGTGTTGAGGACAGCCAACGGAAACGTGGCGGGCTGATTCTCCGATCTCGCAGACGAGCACATACAACACGATTCGAAAACTTGAAAACTGCGGTGCTCGTTGCTCTTACGGGGAAAATTGAGGATGTACCTGATCGCGTTCTGGTAGAAGATTCACTCACTTTTGTATTATGTAAGTAGAAGAGTGAGGTGCATGGGCACATGCCTTATCAAGACCTTCTTCTCGGTCAAGAGAAGATCTTCGTCGTCATAACCATCTCCTGGTGATCATTAGGATCATGTTGCCTATGTTTTCCATTGTTTGGGATCGTTGTTTTCTTCGTCCTAGTGAGGCCTTTTTCTTATTGTCGTGATTTTTGTTCCTTTAAATCTTGGTTTTTATTCTCAGCGTGCGCGCCATACTTGCCTATATCCTACAGATCCGCACTTAGCTTGTTCTCACCAGGGTGGTTGCTTTGATATAGCATGCATCTACCTGAGTTCTAGCATAAAAACCATCCCCACCTTGCTAAGAGAGGTACCAGCAGAGTATGATCGAGTCGAGGACGTATCCTCCCATGTTTTAGTGGAAGATTCGTCCCCAATTTGCATAATTGATGAGTAGTAAGAGCCCTGCTACGGAGATTGTCGTCGCAAAGGTCGCCTGGACGAGTAGTAGTAAGAGCCCTACTACGGAGGTTGTCGTCGCGAAGGTTGCGGCCTTCATCACGTTCATCCTCCTTTGAAAATTGTGTCCCTTTTTCATCAGAGATCATGGCCGGCCTCCGCGAAATTGCATACCCGCTTCCCTCCTTGTAGTGCGGTTCATTGCCTTCACGATTATTGGTCATTTGCTGTCACATGGCGATAGTGCTCTCTTTAAGAGGAGCGAGGTATGTATAGGAGGCATCTGTGCATACACTTGGGAAACAAACGCGGGAAGAACCAAGGAAGTAAAAAGCGACAGAGCCTTTTCGTATGCCGCTCTTTTCGATTGTCTGCGTTCGGCCTCGATTGTGACCAGATGCATGAAAAGGTAATCGAAAGTCCAGGGAGTGTTTAAGAGAGACTAGATCGATAAAGGAGGAGAAGAGAGAAGGAAGATAGGTTAGAAGTGGAGAAAAAAAGATGAGAAGGCAAGGTCGTGGCGTATAGTAGAATCCCATGGTCATGGTTATTTGCAACTCGTCTTTACGATTGACTTCAACAAGGTTGCCTCCGGCTGCTCTACCAAAGTTGAGGTTTGATTCCATGCTCAGAATTGTCGTCCTTTCAAAATTTTGTTTAACATCCTTTCAGGAGGCAGCAATTATGTGCGTTGTAAGCACCTCACTTGGTTTGAATAAAAAGGTCAACAACCATTACAGTCAGGTCAGGTGTTAAAACAGTATGAGCCTGGTTGGGGTTTGAGTTCAGTGCACTTGAGAAAAAAGGAAGTGAGCAAGTAGAGAAGGCAAGGAGAACAAATAGGAAGAGAGAGAAGTACCTACCTACGCCAACTCGCGATCCGGTGTGCTACTACTACCTTGGATTCGAGAAAACTGCAGGGGACAACATTCCGGCTATTCTCAATTTGAATAGCGGCAGCAAACTGCTTGTTCCTATACTTTGCGCATACATTTCTGCTGTGAGCAATGCTATACGTTTGCTACTGATTCTTGAACAGAACTCAACCTGTGTTTCCTTTGAGGCGTGGGCTGAATTTGCAAGGGCCACGTCATTGCTGGTACGTCTGTTGCTGTTAGTTGGTGTACGACTATCACTGGTTTGATTGTTCTAGCTACTATGCTGCTATTTTGGGGATTATTGTTACTATTACGGTCAGAGTCGTGGTCTTTGTCGTGATAGCTGATTGTTTAGCTGCAAATAGTTGTTACATGGACGTCCCTATGAGGTAATACAATAAAGCAACTGGTCTTATCCGTTCTTCACAGTGCTATCTCTGACTTCTGTTGCTTTTCATTTAGACATTTGGTTTCTCAGACTTGAGACTGCTGATCCATCAACGGGATCAGACTGTAGATCACTCGATAGACTTTTGCTGGCCTACTCGAAAGGGGGTGCTGCTGCTACACACAATTTTTCTTGCAGCATTCTGCATTGCCGAGGTTGTCGTGGCAATGCTGTGTGTTGACTCGACGTACTATTGAGCAGCGCTGCACTTTGCTGTGCATTTCTGCGTGTTACTATGGTTCACCGTCGAGTTCGTTGTTGGGCATTGCACTTCGCTTGGCTGTTGCACACGACTACTGTGTGCGCCATCATTTGACTAAGTATCACGGAGTCTCACCTGCACTCCGAATAGAGCACGGGGGTGTGCTCTATTCAAATGTGTTTTCTTCTTGGCTGCATAGCGGCGGTTCGGGTAAAATGGATCATTGCTGCAACTTGGAGGTTTGTCAGGAGGGAGGTACTCTGCTTTCTGGTCGTGGTCAAGCTATTTTGCTGCGTTCATTGGTTACCATTGCGGGGCCCTAAGACGATTGAAGATTTCAAGGCCCTCTCCTATGAGTTGAGTTTGTCCCTCTCCTGCATCTCGAGCGTGTGAAACCCCTCCTCCTGCCCTTCTTACTCTTAAGTCTAGTATAAAGTTATGAGAGGAAGGCGGCAGCCGGGATTGCAACCCGTAGGATCGCACCAAGACTCTGTGGGGAGTCTGCCCACTGATTGTGGGAGCTCTGCAGGAGCCCAAGCGGGGTTCTGGAGGCAGGGAACACTCAGGTATAAACTCGTTTTACACGTGTGATGCCATGCCCTAATCTATATTACCTTTTGCTATTTGCCTGCAAGTATGATTGAGAGAGCTAACTACTTTTGTTTGTTTTGAGTTGAAAAACCCATATTATTTGTGTGAATTCAGACATAATGAATGGGGGGAGGTGGGAGGAAGGTGTTTTGCTTGTGTTTGACCGGGTCAACCCAAGGCTGAATCCCTCTAATTTAAGTGGGTTCAGTGCTATGTTTTATTTTTGTCTGCTGGGTTGAATGTATGACCTTTTGAGAGTAGGGCCTATCCTATGTTGGATGGTCCAGCTACTTGTTTCTTTTGGAGTTTCTGAACACGAGGACAGGCGCCCTAAGTTGGGAAGGCTCAGATTCCTGATGTTTTTTGTGGGTTACTGAAGTAGGACTGGGATATTCTAAGTTGCATAGACCCAGTTCTGTGAGTTTTATTTTGAGGGCGACACCGACATGAGATTAGGCGTACCCGTATATATATATATATTTTTATATTATATTTGCATTTGACAGGCTGGCACCCTAAGTTGGGAGGTCCAGTCAATAAGTCAGGTAGAACAAAAAGAGAAGGAAAGCAAATAAAGAGTATGATGAGAAGGTAACTCGGGCAGACTGAACGTACCCCTAAGTTGTGGCGTTTGAGTCCTATGCCCGTGATAACATAAAAGGGTAGAAAGTTAGTATAAACTTCTTTATTTCCCTTTTAAACACAAGGTAGGGTTGAATGTCTCCCTAAGTTGGGCAGGTCTGACCATCTGGCTAAGAAGAAAGTTGTGAAGTTTGTTCAAAGTATTTGTGGTTGTTTGAACTGTTGTTACGAAGGCTAAAGCGTACCCCTAAGTGAGGGCGGCTTAGTCATACGTCGTCTGTAACTTGTTAGGCAGGTCCGGCGTACCCCTAAGTTGGGGCGGTTCGATCACATTGCCTTATGTATCCTAAATTGTATGGGCTAAACTAGGTGTACCTCTAAGTTGGGGCGGCCTAGTGGCATGCCTTTTGTCGTGATGCTATGGAGGTTCGACGCACCCTTAAGCTGGGGCAGTCTGACCATTCGTTGTTTGTGTCTGTTTAGGCAGGTTAGGTATACCCCTAAGTTGGGGCAGTCTAATCCTATACCGTACGTGGACTTCATTTAAGGTTGACTAGGTATACCCCTAAGTTGGGGCAGTGTAGCCTTATGCCTCATGTCGTCAGTTAGGCAGAAGCCAGGTATACCCCTAAGTTGGGGCGGTCTGGTCATATGCTTTATGTTCATAGTTTATGTTGGGCGAGGCATACCCCTAAGTTGGGCCAATCTGGACATACGTTTCAGTCATGTAAGCTAGGCATACCCCTAAGTTTGGGCAGTCTAGTTGTGCGTACACTTGCTTAGGCGGGGCAGGCATACCCCTAAATTGGGGCGGTCTGATCCTATGCCATAAGAAAGGGGGGGTTACTGAGGGTTAAAAGAACTGAGAGATTAATGATACTTTGGCCAAAGCAAATGTGGGATTGAGAGAGAGGTGTTGATTATGCATGTTTGATTGAGGGACACTTGTTTTTGGGCATCTCTTGATGGCTTAGTCACTTTAGATACTGAGTGTTGGAGCCATAGGTAGGTAAGATGGATGATGGGAGGGAAGCTTGGGATATTGTAGGACTGACCTTATTGAAAGTTAGGATTGGTGCCAGCTCACGATACCATCTTTAAGGAAGGGTCGTGTAGACCATCTCCAATCCTAACTATCAAGTAAGTGTCAGAAGTTGTCCCAAGTCTTTGCATTTTCAACTTTGTATAAATCTTGGCAGTCTCCTTTTCCTACGGGAAGCGCTGCCGAAATGTTTACAAATATGAAAGAGTTGGTCATTTTTGGATGCTTGAAAATTCTTAAAAGGCACTTTCCCTACGGGAAGCGATGCCAAAATTTTGTAGAATTTGGAGAGTTAGATTATTATGCTAGGAAAAATTTGGCAATCCACCCTGTCTAGTGGAGATGCTGTCGAAATTTTCAATAACTTTTGAAGCCTGTTGGAAGAAGGTAATGGAGAAGTTAGTAGAGGAGTTGGGCTATGACATGGAGCATGTCCTCCATTTGTCTTAAATGTGGTATTGGTCCGCTTTGGCCTGTACTGTCATGGAGGTTTACACATTCAATTGAAGGTTTGAACTGTTCGGCCTGATCACTCGTCTGTGATCTTTTGATAACAGGTTGGTTTACGACTAAACTTGCCTGCTTCTACATCTAAATCTAAGGAGCTTGCCCTTGTGGGTTTTTATTTTTCTTGGGATTTTCACCCAAATTTTTTTCTAAGTGGTCATTTTTAAAGATAGAGTACCTTTATTCAGGGATGGTGGAAAGTGATTGGGGCTTGTATGCATAAGGCAGGGTGTGAGTCACAGAAAGCGGTAAAGTTGACTCCCTTAGTGCACGTGATGTTGTTGTTCGAATTCTGTGTGATCGTAGGTATGCATATAAGATCCCTGGATTGAGCTTGGTGATGGTCTGAGTATTGTGTGAATTCAGATGGACAAGTCACACTACTGTTGTGAGAGTGATCGTCTAATACCACACTTTTGCTTGACTGTTTGAACTACCTTTGCTTAGCATAACTATAATGGTTGCAGGGAATCCCACAATGATTGTGAGAAGTGATCGTCTCATATTTCATAACCCCTCATATAGGTATATATATACATATATCCACGACGAAACAGTTTGTCACAGCCCCTCGTTTGTTGTCCTCTTCTCTCTCTCTGCCTACGGTTTACCGGGCAGTTCTGTTTGTGACGATATATATCCACATATATATATGTTCCTTAAGAGTTTGTGGCTACCGTCAAAGTCAAACCCCATTTTTTTCCAGGCCTTGGATGGTGGAGCTTGCCTCCAAGGCCATGAGAGCTGACTGCCACCACATGTTGGAACCTGTGTACCACCCACTCTCTACAGGGTGTAGAAGAGGGTGTGGTGATCAACCGCCTTGGCGGTTGTCTAGCGTCGAGAGATTAACCCCTCAAGGCGCCTGTCATCCGACACTCGAGTGTCGAACGTGACCCTCAAGACTATCCAAGATCGCGCGATTATGGGTACTACATAGTCCTCCATCGTTGCAACTGTTCGCGACTGTTTGCCTGGCTAGTCGGTATGAGAAAGCCTTGCGTCCGTGTGATTTTATCTTGAGTCTCGCGCGCGATGCCTAACCGATTTCCATATTAAAAGGTTATGGGTCGGATGCTGAAGGGGCCAGGAGTGATTTGTTTTGTTTTTGTGTGTGTATTTAATTGTATTATTTTTAGTGTGGTGTAATGCGTGGTAAGCGGAATGCGCCCCAGTTGACCAACGACGAGTCGTGCTTGGGACTCCAGCCCCACAATGCGTTGGTTCGCGTGCGGGTCCGATAGAGGCGTAGGACCGCACATACCCCCTATGCTACGTCGAACGAGAAACGCCCTCAGTCGGGCCACCTCTGCTATTGCATACGAAAAGCCTTTGCATGTGGTTCAGTAGCTCGAGGGGGATACACGCACCCAAGGGATGGTGACAGCTCCCGCGGGTGGAGGTAAGTTGTGCCTTACGTAACCCTATCCTATAATATGGGTGCGTGAGAGGTATGGTTGGCGCACTCGGCTGGAGCGGAAAACGCTCTACGACGAAGTCCTGCAAAATCCAGCGTGACGCACTCGGGAGGGTCCCCCAGCGAGATCGATGCGTTGGACAATGTCTATGAACCATACTTGCAAGCGGACGCCGTCCGGCCGGTTCCGCATGTGCGACAAACCGTCGGATCGGACCTGCGCGGCGCACGAATGTGCGCCCGACGACCAGTTACACCCCCCCCCCCAAAAAAAAAAAAAATGTCCCCGTCCAGTCCGGTCCGGGTCCGTCCGGTCCAGGGGGAGGGTGCCGCACGCTGCAAAGCGGACCGGGCCGGACGCTCGTCCGTTCCGTCTACTTGCAAGTATGGTATGGACTATTATGAAGGCACCACATTTGCGGCCACCTACACTGACTTTCACAATGAAATGTTCCCCCTTAGGACGTCTTGACAGTGTCACCCAAGACTCACGAGGGTCCCTTGTCGACCACTCGGTTTCTAAGTCTTCTAAGGCTTCAGACACATCCAACAAACAAAGTGTCGTTTGGTTAAGATGTGTCTGTGGGGTGATTAATGAGTCAATAGCTTCGGCCAACTCCTGAAGTGGTGAAGGTATACCAACCACTTCAACATGAGTAGAAGCAGTTAGAACTTCTACTGGCCAGATGTGTTTCCCTGGGTCGTGCTCGTAGAAGCACCACCCTAGGCGGAAGATCCCCCAAAACCACCTTTGTGCAAAAAAACTTTAGAGACTTTCACATTCTTGCATCTAAACTGCTGATGGTCGTCCTCGCACGCATTACAACAACACTTCTCTTCTGAAACTCTACTCCTCTCAGGCCAAACTCCCTACTGTAGACCACAGTGTCTTATAGCGTTGTTTGGTGGTCAAAAAACGCCTTTAGGACAGACTTGGCCTAACACACGTGCTTCGAACCCATGCCAGGTTCATTTGTAGGGGACTGCTACCTCGAC